GCTGCGAGTCAGTGACGACGCAGTTACGCCTCTCCCTGTGCCGGGAGCACGTACGTACGCGCCCACGCGCCATGCCCGGAGCTTGTGTGCGCGCGCCGCAACCTCGGTGGTGCCGAAACCATTGCCACCAGCATACAGCAGCTAGCTAGGATTGGATTAACTGCCGCCGCCCAACAAACAACTACTACTCGTATACTTGTACTGGATCACGTACTACTACTAGGAGGACTACAACTAGATTAAGCAGTATTAATGTCACTCGCTACCACATCGATCCCACTTGTGGTACGTAGGAGTAGTTCTTAACCGAGGAGAGTAACATTCTTTGCTGTTTTTGTTTCAAAAAAAAACATTCCTTGGTGTTTCATCGCACAGTTTTGGAGTAGCTGGTTCGATTTGGGCACTCCAAAAGCTCGAAAAGTCGGGATCTTTTGGCGCTAAAATTTCGGGGCCGACACGGTCGTGGTCCCAGCCAGTCGGAACTCCGCTGTCGTATTTACTCGTCCATCCAGTAGCAGCAGCAGCGTTCCAGAGTCCAGAGGGCGCGGCGTGGGGACGGACGCGACGGGGGCGAGTTATTTCTACTGCTGCGCCGTCCGCCTCCTCTTCTGACCTGACCGTGTCCAGCCGCCCCGGTGAAAAAAGCGTCTCCCGGCGTGGTGCGTACACACGGTTCGGCCGCGTAAATGAACCGCGTACGTACGGCAACCAACCCGCCGAGCCGTCGCAGTGGTGGCGGCAGCGGTAGAGCTGCTGCGGAATTAATCCGATCCCCTGCCGTGGCCAAGCCTACCTTTGAGTCACTGACACACGGGTCCCACAAAGCATGGGGCCCACCTGTCAGTGACTCAAAGGCAGGGTATGGCAGGGATTGCAAAGTCAGAGGATCCACGTCCCAATTATTGAGACGCGCAAGTTGCGCGCCGTGCCGGAAGCTCTGCTCGAGCGCGTACGTAGAAGTACTGTGCTTGATTGCAGAGCTGTGCTGTAATGACCTCACCGGAGTACTAGTACTGATGATGATTCTGGTTTTTGGTTTGATGATGATGCAGGCGGGAGGGCCGTCGTACCCGGTGGAGCTGGGGCGGCTGGACGGCAAGGTGGGCACGCGCGCCGTCGTGAAGCACAGCCTCCCCGGCGCCGGCTTCTCCCTGGACCAGCTCAACAAGCTCTTCGCCGCCAACGGCCTCACCCAGACCGACATGATCGCCCTCTCAGGTCAGTTGTACGGCCTGATTGATTGATTGGTTGATTGATTGTTGATCTCCTCCGGCCTCGGCAACATCACGCCAAAACATTCCCTCTGAATTGAATTATTAGCCGCTCAAGATAGATAGTAGGCAGTTACTGACGTGGAAGACGAATGCGGTGCAGGGGGGCACACGATCGGGGTGACGCACTGCGACAAGTTCGTGCGGCGGCTGTACACCTTCAAGGGGGCGCGGCCGCAGTACAGCCCGCCGATGAACCTGGCGTTCCTGCGGCAGATGCGGGGGACGTGCCCGCTCAACTACAGCCCGGCCACGGTGGCCATGCTGGACGCCGTCACGCCCAACAGGTTCGACAACGGCTACTACCAGACGCTGCAGCAGCAGAAGGGCCTGCTGTCGTCGGACCAGGTGCTCTTCGCCGACCGCCGCTCCCGGGCCACCGTCAACCACTTCGCGTCCAACCAGACCGCCTTCTTCGACGCCTTCGTCGCCGCTATGGCCAAGCTCGGCCGCATCGGGGTCAAGACCGCCGGCTCCGACGCCGAGATCCGCCGGGTCTGCACCAAGGTCAACTAACGTGGTTGCTTAGCTCTAAGCTGCCGTGGTAGTAGCACCACACGTACATTCAGTAGAGAGGGTAAAATGGATGGATGGATGGGCCGATCGATTCTGTCATGTGTCTCTCCTCTTCTCTTCTCCCTGCCCATGCGCGCCCCATATGCTCGCACATGCCATATTGTCATAGCCGATTTGTTCCAGCCCGATTCTTTTCTTCACCATGTAATAAAGCATATAAATGCCGTGGGATAGGAGGCACGCACAGTTACATCCATGTAAATGTTACACTTGGTCCGGTTAATCAACAAGTATACTATCCCATATGAATGAATGGAGTTATTTTTTGAAAGTGTTACTGTACATGTCACAGTGGATGTACTATGTGAAGTTGAATGTTCTGTGCACTGCACTGTATGGCATGGTGGCTCCAGCCAGCTGGTGACAGAGGATGCAACATGCCATGGATGGTCCAAGTTTCTCATAACTACGCCCAAGGTGAGCTGTGAACACCTGCAACAAACCATGTGATATTTCAGTCAAACATCCAAAGCTCCAAGAAGCACGCCTCAATACATCCAGGAACAGGAAATGATAGTGAACACCAGTATGCTGTCCAAGTAAAGAGACGATCAAGGTTTCTCAACACACAAGAGCAACTCTAGCAGAGTTAGTCGTGTTGGCAGCCTCCATATGGATATGAAGATTACCAAGCCAAACCAAAAACACATAATCTCCATAAGAGCTGCCTCCTTACCGTATGACCCACTTGTCAGTGAGACATCCTCCTTTTCCCAGTCTCCAATGCATATATATTCAATTAAACCAACAACATTCAGTTAAACCCGAGCACGGCGGCGAGGGATTGGACGATGACAAGACGCGAGGGCGTGGAAAATCCAAGATGGTACCAAAATTCGCACAGAGATGTTGTCGTCGGTGACTCGTTTTCGACAGCCATTTCAGCTTCGGGTGCCGATTCCGACGGCGGCGGCCGGATCTGCAATGCTCGAAATTGTGGAAGCATTACGATAGGTATCCACATGGGTGCCTCATCTAATGCTTCTCACAGTTTCAAACATCGACGTCGATTTTAGCTTCGGCGTGCCGATTCCAATGGCGGCGATGCTCGCAAATGTGAGAAGCAAAGAATCTATGTACCCCATGTTTCTCACATCTTCAAACACCGACGTCATTTTCACTCCTCCATGCATTACTCGTCGTCGAGTCTCTCCGATTTCTTCCCATCTAAAGGAAAAATCATGCTAACCAGTTTGGAGACACATGCGGTAATTCTTGTGGAAATCCTTATGTCTCCCAAAACGACTAGTATAATTTTTACCAATGCTTCTCCTCCTCAATATGGTGATTTTAGTCTAAAATTGGCACATTGGCAATTATTATGGTGACCGGCGCAATATGGTGACTTTTACTAGAGTTGCTCTAAGTTTGATCCCCTAGATAAGGAATGGAAATTAGATGGCCATGGAAAAGTAGGCAGAGAGCCCAAGCTATAGCACACGAGAAGGAAGTGGAGGCCGGAATGTGATTCCATAACACCAGAGTATGCCGGCCATGAACCCCACTCCTTTACAAGGTCAAGCACTCCGTTTCAAGCCATTCGTAGCACACGTTTGGATTGCATAACTTGGTGCATTGGTTTTGGCATAAGGGTCAGGTCCCTTTCTTGCCTTGATTAAATGGAGAAACCAACTAACCGACTTCAGCGCTGCCATTTGTGCCGCATCGTGATCACAGGCCATTTCAGGTCTCGATTGACCTGTTCATAGATTCAGCGAACAGCTTTGCTAAGTCTCAGTCGATTGAGACTTCGTTATGTCTCAGTCGATGCTATCTTCCTTTGATTTTGCATGGAGATTCGTACAAAAAAATTATTTTCAGTTTTTTTTCTTTTATATACTACATCACTTGACTGAGACTTGGTTAAGTCTCAGTGAACTGAAATCTAGCCACACCCTTCTGCGAATGATTACGATAGCCTATATTAACGCTCAATTTGGCAGCCGTCATCTTTCTGCAGCCCAAGAAAATTATGCAGAACGATTAGGTGTAAGTTTGACACGCTACTTTTCTCATGGTCCCGGAAATACGGGAGAGACCACAAATCCACAGGCACAAAGGGAAGTGGTGTTGAGTGTTGACAGGTATAGGATGCCTCCAAGTGCCTGCCTGCCACGCACCGCTGCTTTTCTTGGTCGACATGTTGATCGGGTCGCCCCTGCCATTGGCGTCGCCTCGGATTGCATTCGGTGGCGCGAATGCGCCGTCTCTTTCTTCAGCAAAATCAGCTGTCAGCTCTTTAGCTTATCCTCCCGCCTTGCTTTCCAAACCAACTTAACTGATGAGAGGATGATGAAACGGACGCTAAATAAAGTGGGATGGTAAAAATATGAAAGCGCCTATGCATCATTCATGGTCAAATAGATCCCAAGTTCCTTGCTCTGAACGTGTACTGTCATTCAGAAACGCCAATTCCAACTAATAATAAGGTAACGAAAGAAGCAAAACTGAACGAATATATATAGCAGGAGTGAGACTTGAGGGAAGCTTTGCAAAGATAACATAGAACCAGTACCGACAGATCCTGTCCATATTTCCTTTCTTTTGCTTAGCGGTGCCAAATTCGTCTGAAAGACACTTATCTTGTGCATATTCTGCCCATCCCCTTGTGCGTGCGCAGATCTGATTGGTGCAACGAAAGGGAAGAATTCTCGTGCCTTAAGGACCCCCTCTGAAGCATCTCCAAGAACCAACCCCAAACGATGCGGCTGGCTGCGACAGGCAGCATGCAGCACGGCCAACTAATTTGTTCTTGTCTCACTCTTTCTGCGCAAAGCTACAAGCAAGCCATTGTCTCCTACGGAGTACTACTTACTAAGATTGCATCTGAAATAAACTTGTTAGGTCATTTTGTCCACATATCCCATGTGGGACATTAGGCTATTATATGAAAGTAATGTGCCTTGTCTTGTGCTTCTGGAGGTCAGACAAAGTAGGTCCAAGTCTCATACATTGCATTTCCCCCCCGATAAAAGATGGATTTTATTAACTCAAAATGAAGCATTAAGGGGATACAAACACAATGCGCATACATCTGGCGACTTAGGTTCTTTGTATGCGACCACTTGATCTGAATGCAGTGTATGTGCCATAAATTGAGCTTATATAACTGTGGGTTCCTTGAACAGTTCCTTGCGGACATGAAAAATAATATCATGACTAATGAATTGATATGATGTTCCCTGTGTTACAAACCGTTCATTTATTCTGTTCTTATGGTAGGAAAAGATGTCCCCGGTGTTACAAACAGTCCATTTATTCTGTTATTATGATAGACACATGGATGATTGGAACATAGAAGACTGCAAAGTCTCCAAAAAAAATGGTTGGAATAGTACGCGTCGGTTCTTGCATTATTTTAGGTCATTCTATCAGGAAAATGAATGAAAGATTATCTAGTAAGGTGATTGAAAACCAAAGAAAAACAAATGGTACAAACTCAAGTGTTAACGCCAATGTAAAGAAAAAGATAAGTCATGTTTAGTTCATAGGGGTACATTGCTACATTATTTTTCCTACTGGAGCAAATGAACATCAAATCTGACGAATTTTTGGTCATTCCTATGGCAAAAGTGTAATTCTATATTGGATACCACATGAAGCTTAGAAAATTTATGGCATAGACACTGAATATTTTACACTCGGACTATGAGCCAAACGTGCATGTAACTTACATGTTGAAGGGTTGGAAAGAAAAGTTTCTGTCTATAGGAGGGAAAGAGATTTTGTTGAAGGCGGTGATCCAATCTATCCTTGTTTTTGCTATGTCCGTTTTTAATATTCCCAAGAAGCTATGCAAGGAGATGACAGATGCAATGTCAGAATTTTGGTGGGGAGATACAGATGAAGTAAAACAGATGCATTGAATAGCCTGGTGGAGGATGTGTATTCCCAATGGACGAAGGTATGGGCTTCCGGGACCTACACTCTTTTAACCTAGTCATGTGGCAAAACAATCTTGGAGACTCATCACAAATATTGATATGTTGTGTGCTCAAGTTCTAAAAGCTAAGTATTATCCTCACTGCAATTTACTAAAGGCAGGCCCTAAAAAAAGCTCCTCTTTCACGTGGCAAAATATTGTGGCCGACCTGTGTACTTCTCGGAGAGGACACATTTGGAGAGTTGGCACGGGTGAATAGATAGATATTTGGGAGGACCACTGGATACCAGGAAGTCCATCTAGAATGGTGCAAACACCTAAGGGCCAAATTCTGCTACAGACCGTAAGTGATTTAATTGAACTTGCTACTGAAAGTTTGGATGAGATGCTCATAAGGAATGTTTTTAACCCGATTGACGTGGAAAGAATCTTGCTAACACCCTTGAGCGAACATCTGAATGAAAATTTTGTGGCCTGGCATTTTACAAAATCATATATATTCACGGTAAAGTTGGTGTACTATATTGAATGGGATCATGTCCATAGACACCGACTGACTAGAGCGGATGGACAAGGGACAACTTCACGCAATCCTGTTTGGGACACCTTATGGACGCTGAAAGTGCCAAGCAAAGTAAAAATCTTTGGATGGAAAGCCTTGCATGGCATAATCCTAGGTCTGGCGGTGTTGCCTAATAGACACATTCCTACTCTGGATCAATGTCTTGCTCTTCGGGTCCTGAAGATATTAGGCATATGATGTTCACTTGCAGCCGTACACAAGATGTCTGGAAATCGCTGGGTCTTCAAGACATTATTATAAAGGCTACATATGTTGACCGATCTGGATCATAATTCTTGAAGAGCTGCTTCGACGATAGAATAATAAATCACCGGTACTTGGGCAAGTTGGGTTAAAGGAGATGATTATCGTGGGTGCTTGGTATATTTGGTGGCAACGTAGAGAGTTTGTAAAATGGGTGGTTGTGGCCCCTCCACCTCAGTCAGCTTTTGCTATTCAAACTATAGCAATGAACTATGTGGGAGCTTATTTAAAATCTGAACCACAAACAACAACATGGTGCAGGC